GCCATAAGGGGAAGTCAATAAGTGGAAGCATAATGAAGAGCTAGGAAAAGGGACTAGGGGTTGGAAAAACGGTCGTCGTGGAAACCTAACTGGAATTGAAGCAAACCTTGACATCGGAAATGGAAGTTGGGTTGGTGCTTATGTTGGCATATATGGCGTGACTGCTTGCCCGAAATCAGATTGTGATGGAACATCGACCAATCAGAACAAGTCTGCATTATCTTGTGCTGCCGACTCAGTTCATCTCTTGATCCTAACTACCGGTACCTGATCAATCGACGGCTGCTATTTAATATCACTAACTGGACGCATCAGGAAGGACCAGGAGATTCCAACTAGACACACCTCACTAGTGACCTTAACCATTAAAAATCCTTGATATCGACGGCCGAGAATCCAACTACAATTTGCTCAAACTGTTTAAAGATCGCCAACCTCTCCCGTCCAACGCAGTGTCGGCGAGGTCTCCGGAACGGAGACACGGGGCCAGAGGTTGAGCTGATGCGCGGCGTACCGGACCGCAAACGGCCACAGAAAATGGGGGGCAGCCGCGTGAACCAAGGAGGTACGAGCGACCTCCATGACCAAGCCAATGCGGCGCTCAGCAACCCCATTCTGCTGAGGAGAGGCCGGAAGCGTGAACGTCTGCTCAATGCCCTCCCCCTGACAGAAGGTCTCCAAGAGGCCGGAGGAAAACTCACCACCTCTGTCAGAGTGCAGTCGCAGGACGGGAAGGTCCGTGTGAAAGCGCCTCTCCAGCTGGAGACGGGTAGCGCGGATCCAAGGGATCAAGACAGCAGGGACCTCTCCCTTGGTGCGCAAGGGGAAGACCGTGGTGTAACGCGTGTAGTCGTCAACTACCAGCAGGAAGTAGCGCTCTCCGCCCTGTCCACGGACGCGGGTTGGGCCCCACACGTCCATGTGAAGGGTCTGCAGAGGAGCTTCCGTCGGGGGGAACTCAGAGGAGTGAGGGGTGGCACGCTGCCGCCCCTCGACACAGGGAAGGCAGGGAGGGGCAGGGGACGGTGGCAGGGGAGGCAGTGACCTGGGGAGACCAGAGACAAGGAAGCGAGAGTGCATGCCACGAAGGCGCTGCATCGAAGGGTGACCAACGCGGTGGTGCCAGAGGACCGTCCGGTGCGACAGGGTGCGACACGAGCAGGGGGCGGACAACTGACCTGACGCAGATGCAGACGCCGCTACCTGAGGGGACTCAGTGGTCAGTGTGTACAAGTCCGACCCCGGCTGCCGAGTGAAGGTAGCCAGGTGACGACCCGTCTGGGCACACGTGCCTTGTGTCACACGCTCGTAGGCAGGGGTGAACTGGTGAACACCCGCGTCCTGCAGCGCGGAACCCGCCACCAAGTTCGTAGAGAACGAGGGGAGGTAAAGGCCCGACAGTGTGCCGGACGGGACAGCAGGACAAGGGAGGGCAGTGGTGGAGGTCGCAAGGACCGGACCCCCTGAGGGGTCAGCCAGGGAGACAGCAACCGGCCTAGGGAGCTGCTCGAGGGCAGTGCGGTCGCGAAAGAAACAGCGGGAAGCACCTGAGTCCTGTGTGAAGGTGTGCAGTGCCTCAGTAGACGCAGTACCTGAAGGCGCAGACTCACAAGCACCTGAAGCAGCAGACACACCTGCACCTAGAGCAGCAGCCTCACCCGGACCAGGGGCAGCAGACGCACTAGCACCTAGAGCGGCAACCTCACCGGCACCTGGAGCAGCAGACTGGATACCGGGGTCAGGCGGCACACACAAGTGACAGGCTCCCTCGGCACTAGTAGACAATTCATACATCGCAGTGAGAATAGCATCATAGTCAAGAGCAAAGATATCTACCCTCTGCCTAAGCAGCTCCACCCTGTCGGGGAGCTCAGCGTCGTCGCCAAACTCTGTACGCCAAGCGTCGCTCAGACGGGCGAAGCAGCGGGACTCTATGTGACCACGCGTCCCGCAAGGCTGACCAGTCTGGGCACCCGTGCTAATAACGTACGGGCAGCGAGCAGTACTCAGCGACCCTCTACTCTGAGCGTACCACTCACGAAGCTGCTGGGGCGAAAGAGTCTCGCGCGGACGACGCTGCTGCTGCACCGGGCCACTACAAGAAGCTCCCGAACTACCCACTCCAGGACGACTCCCACTACGGCCACCCCGACAACCCCAACTGGCGTACCACTCACGAAGCTGCTGGGGCGTGAGGGACACACGCGGAAGGCCCTGGAGCTGCATCTGGCCACGCCAGGAGCAGCAGTAGAAGCAGTAGCAGCAGGAGCAGCAGTAGCAGTAGCAGCAGCAGGAACAGCAGTAGCAGCACGGGCAGGGACAGGGCTCACCAGTGGTGGGAAGGGCAGGCGTACGACGGAGGCGACTGCGGGGCCGCTACAGTGGTAGGGCGGGGCCGCGACCGCGGCAGGGAGCTCCGCGGCAGTTGCTGCAGGGCGGGACCGGGCCGCGACGGCAGCTGGTGCAGGGCAGGGACAGGGCCGCGCCGGTCGCTGCTGAAGGGGCGGCTGCTCCAGGGGCAAGGGGCGGCTGCTGTAGTGGCGGCTGCTCCAGGGGCCAGGGGCGGCTGCTGCAGGGGCGGCTGCTCCAGGGGCGGCTGCTCCAGGGGCAAGGCGCGGGGTAGGGCAGGGCGACGCGGCGGGCAGGGGCGACGCCGCGGGCAGGGGCGACGCAGCGGGCAGGGCGACGCGGCGGGCAGGGGCGACGCCGCGGGCAGGGGCGACGCGGCGGGCAGGGCGACGCGGCGGGCAAGGCGACGCGGCGGGCAGGGGGCGACGACGCGTTAGCAGCTGGGCGCGGCCGCGTCAGTAGCAGGGTGCGGCCGCGTCAGCAGAAGGGCGCGGCCGCGTCAGCTGCAGGGCTGGCGGGGCCGCGTCACGGCAGGGCGGGGCCGCGTCCGCGTCGGCGGCAGGGCGGGGCCGCGACCGCGGCAGGGTGGGGCCGCGTCAGCGACAAGGCGGGGCCGCGACTGTGGCCTGACGGGGCCGCGACAGCGACCTGACGGGGTCGCGCGCTGGCCTGACGGGCTTGCAGAGGCTGCGTGCGGGCGGCGAGGTCCTGCAGGGGCAGCGCGACGACCTGACGGGCCTGCAGGGGCGGCTCTCGGGCCTGACGGGCCTGCAGAGGCGGCTCGGGGGCCTGACGGGCCTGCAGAGGTGGCTCGGGGGCCTGACGGGCCTGCAGAGGCGGCTCGGGGGCCTGACGGGCCTGCAGGGGCGGCTCGAGGGCCTTACTAGCTTGCAGGGGCGGCGCACTGGCCTAGGGCAGCAGGAGGCAGCGCGAGGGCTGCAGGACTGCGCGCGGGCAGAACGAAGGGCGGGGTGCGTGAGGGCGCACTAGTAGAAAAAGGGCGCACGAGGGCGCACGAGCAGAGAAAGGCGCACGAGGGCGCACGTAAGGTAGGGCGCACGAGGGCGCTTCTAGCGGAATAGTGGGTCCGTAGTAGTAAGCGATCTGCATTATCTTGTGCTGCCGACTCAGTTCATCTCTTGATCCTAACTACCGGTACCTGATCAATCGACGGCTGCTGTTTAATTTCACTAACTAGAAGCATCAGGAAGGACCAGGAGATTCCAACTAGACACACCTCACTTGTGACCTTAACCATTACAAATCCTTGATATCGACGGCCGAGAATCCAACTACAATTTGCTCAAACTGTTTAAAGATCGATCGTCGTCGTTCAATTGATCAATGGTTGCCATTCCAACTTGAAACAAATATCTTAGGTTCAATCTTCACCGTTCCCAATTGTTAACATCGACTGTCCAGTTTCCAACTTGGACAAATGTAACCATTTGCCTTAATGTAATCTTGTCTGTTCACGGGTATTCGCATCGACGGACATCCTTTCTTCTGCTACCACACTCAGACAGTCCAGGTAAACTCACGTAAAAACCCAACAGTAAATTTCAGAAAATACCAAGTCAGGACACTGCACCGAGTTGTTTGACATGGCAAGGTATCTACCGTATCATCACCGGATGCGGATTGCTACAGGAAAATAGTAAGTTGCCTGAAGAGTGAAAAGCCGATTGTCGCTCGATGATTTTCTACGGACTCGAACTCCGGCTTTATAGTAATGTTGAGAGCCTGGATTACGAATGGAGAACGAACCGTGGCTTGCGGGTGAGGGGGTGAGAGGGAGTGACGGGTGCGACTCGCTTGAAGCTTCAGCGCGAAGCGAAATTTCGACTCGGAGGTGTGTCGTGCTTGCCTCGCGAGCAGATGGCGGTGTGGAGCGCCATTCTGGCTTCGTTTCCTAAAATCAGCAATTATAGGAATCGTCATTCTGAGAAACGAAGTCCTCCCCAATAATTGCTGCACTCTGAGAGGGGAAAGGCAAGGAGTTGAACGCGATTCTCATCCGCGACTCCTTATCAGGACGACTCAACGAAACCAGAGTATCGAGATAGGTATACGGTATAAGCACACACCCCTAAAGAATCTTGTTATAAGATAGGTGCACCTGCACTTATATCTGGGGTATAATGGTATTTCCATTTCATGACTCACCAAGTGTGAATCTCGACATAGACAACCTATACAATCCAACATATGTATTGTATAAGAAAATGAGGCATAAACTGAACGCCGTTTATGAACGAACATAATTTTATATTGTTTTGGATAACCGAATGTGTGCTGCGCGAGCGCGCATACGCGCGCGTAGGTGTGCAAATGCACACACGCGCGTATGTATGTGTGTGAGTGCAAGCGCGCACGCGTACGCATGTATGTGTGTGAGTGTGTGAATGCGTACATGTGCACGCATATGTGTGTGTGTGTATGTGTGTGTGTGTATGTGTGTGTGTGTATGTGTGTGTGTGTCTGTGTGTATCTGTGTGTGTGTGTGTGCGTGTGTATGTGTGTGTGTGTATGTGTGTGTGTGTATGTGTGTGTGTGTCTGTGTGTATCTGTGTGTGTGTGTGTGTGTGCGTGTGTGTGTGTGTGCATGCTTGTGTGCATGCACACGTGTGTGAATGCGCCCCGCACGCCATTCACTCCCTCATCTCCACCAGGGCGAGGGCGGCCAGTGGTGGCACAGTCAGCATGGCCGTGTCTGCTTGGAACCAGGGGCCTGCTCCTTGCACTGCTGGGACCATGCCATGCTGCTCCTGAGTGTGGTGCAGCGGTGTGCAGAGGGGTGAAGAGGGGTGCAGAAGGGTGCAGGGAAGGAGCAGATTGAGCTTGGAAAAGGAAGGCGATCATTCAGAAACGACTGGATCACAGACACAGGAGAGGTGAGAGGGAGCATGCGAGACAGTGGGCGAACAATGGGGGGGGGATAGGAGGATGAGAGGCAAGGGGAGGGGGAGGCGCTGACCTGAAGTGGGTTTGGAACAAGATTGCGTGAGAGCAGGGCCATGCCCGAGCCAGCGTCGCCATCAGCCACACTCATTACTATCACCCCTGGCAGCGCTGTGGGGCCCACGTTGAGAAATCGCACGCGCTCCTGTGGGAGGGCCGGGGAAGGGGCGAGGGCGCGGGAAGGCATGGCAGGGAAAGGCAGCGGAGGAGTGGAAGGGTGAGGCACGGGGTGAGCAAAGGCTCGGCAACACAGGCAAAACGCAAGGCAGGAGATGAGGAGGAGAAAGGGTTGGTGTAAAAACATGTCACTGTCAGTCATCATGGCTGAGCAGAGCAGACTTTTGAGACATCTCAAAAGGAGAAAGTGTTGGTGTAAAAACATGTCGCTGTCAATCAGCATGGCTGAGAAGAGCAGAGGGTGCATGCTTATACCTGAGATGGTCCTGTCATTTCATCCGAGAACGGATCGCCTCACCCTACCTGCCAGAAAGCTAGAAAACCTCGATGGCTGGCGGTGCTGTCCAAGCTTTGAATCAACAAGAAGGATAAGGCTTCTGGCCACCCAACCCGGACCTCTTCCCCGGCTCACCTGAAGGAGCTGCAGCAAGGGAAGACGGCAGAGCTCCAGTCACCTCACCCACCAGGCCCTCTCTCCCGGAATTTTCTCCCTGCTCACCTGAACGAGCTCCAGAGAGGGCAGGCGGAAGAGCGGCGAGGAGTAGCGCACGGCCAGCAGCATGCGCAGGTAGCGTGACGTGGCAGCTATGTCTGCTGACGTGGGCCGCAATGTTTGGTTTGCCATGAGTGGACGCATCCTAGGAGGAGCAGTGCAAGGATGGGGGTGCGAGGAAAAGGGGGGTGCGTGCAGGGGGGAAGAGAGGATCATAAAGGTAACAAGAACCTTGGCTACACACAAGCATTGAAGATCCAAGTCCTACTGATAGGTTGTATAGCAAGAAGGGTAAGAAGCTTGTTCCATCTGTGTGGCAGAAGGGACAGGCAAATGATGGAACAGTGGAGTGCAGTGCGGTGCAATGCGGCAGCGCAAACTGCTTCAGGAAGGCGGAGCAAGGCCTGGCTTCAGAGGGGATAATATCAATGTCCCCTCTCTTTTTCCCCCATTCTGCCCCCCTCTCCCTCCTTCCCTCTTTCTCCCCTCCTGTCTCTCCCCTTTCTCCCCTGCGCTCACATGTCCCATTTGTCGCCGTTCTTCTCATGCGGGGGCAGCCCCACGCCAAAGTTGCTGCTGCCACCCGACCAGTCCAGCCTGCCATGCACAAGCATGCGTGCCGGGCACAGCAGTCGGGGCCCAGGGAGGAGCAGTGGGAGGGGCACGCAGGTAAAAGGGCAATGAGAAGGGTAGAGGAAAGATGATGGACTGGGGTGCATTGGAGGGGAGAGCAGGTCATGAAACCTTTTGAGGCGCCTCAAAAGCCACCTCAATGCACGAGGGAGAGGAGTGCCAAGCGTCGTGACAGCATGTGCTGACGTGTTAGGCGCTCGCTTTCAGCACTGAGTGGTAAAGAAGCCTGTTCAGCGCACAAAAATGGCCCAGCAACGGTGTTGCCCTTAGACTCACCGGTTGAACCAGTCGCCTGAGTTGTAGGAGTCGCCGTCGCGCGACTTGGAGCGCAGCACTGGCCATTGCACCAGCCAGCCTTCCCTCAGCATAGAACTGGCACAACAGCAGTGTTCACTTGACACTGACCCAACGAGCTCCGAGTGACTCGGTCTGCACTCCCCACTCACCGGTTGAACCAGTCGCCTGAGTTGTAGGAGTCACGGTCCAACGACTTGGAGTGCAGCAGGTCGTCGCCCGCGTGGATGAACGGCATGCCCTGCCCCCATGCCACCACCGCCATGCCCACTCGGTTCATTGCCATGCGCTACGGAGGGGTTGCTGCTGCTGCTGCCTGGTGGGTGGGGATGGGGGAGGGTGTGGATGGGTGGGTGCAGAGGAGAAGAAGCAAAGAAACGAAAAGGAACAGAAGCGCAGAAGGTACTGGGAGGATGCAAGGTAACACTGAGTGTAGGGGATATGTACACAAGTGGTGGAAGAGCAGAGAAGAAGAGGCGCACACTTCATAAGAAGGTGCCGACGCGAGATGGTGGGATGAGAGAGGCAGACAGAGAAGGTGGTACCTTGATGGTAATGATGTCAAGGAGAGTCTCGTTGTCATGCGCTGATATGTACATGGGCGCGTATGTGGGAAGGCAATAGTGTAGCGTACATGGGCGCGTATGTGGGAAGGCAATAGCGTAGCATACATGGGCGCGTATGTGGGAAGGCAATAGCGTAGCGTACATGGGCGGGTATTTGGGAAGGCAATAGCGTAGCGTCCATGGGCGCGTATGTGGGAAGGCAATAGTGTAGCGTACATGGGCGCGTATGTGGGAAGGCAATAGCGTAGCGTACATGGGCGCGTATGTGGGAAGGCAAGGAGAATGGGTGAACAGCATGCGAACAGTGACAGGAGTGATGGGCGACAGGTAAGCAGAGGGGCTCATGTAAAGAGGAGGTGGTTGGCAGGGCGTGGAAGCGAGTGGGGCGAGTGTCGTGGGGCGTTGGGGAAAAGTGGGGCAGGCGTGGAGTGGCAGGCAGGGGTGCACTCACGGGGTGAGTGAATGCTAGGTACGTTCCTCGGTGGGGATCGAGCACTGAGGGGTCCGATGCACTGATGGATGCATTGGATGGTGGGATGAGAGTGCATGGTAGAAAAGGGGTGAGGGAGGGAGGGAATGAGAGAAATTGTTAGGAAGCAAGGCAGGTAGAAAGAAAGAGAGGCGCATGAGTTGTTATATGTTATTGTATAGAGCAGAGGAGAGCATGAGGTAGCACCAGCACCAGGGTGCAAGCAGGGCTCGGCAGGTCAGGATTCTACAAAACGAGGAGCATAATGGCACATGTGTAAAACTGTGCTGCACAAACAGCTTCACAGGCATATGTGTGAAGAAAGAATAATGAGCAAGCTTGGAGAGAGAGTGCATGTGGAACGAGGGTAGCGGGAGTGAAGCGCACCTGAAGTCACGGATGTGAAGCGCACCTGAAGTCACGGATGTGAAGCTCGTAGATGGACATGTCTGAAAACGCCTGCAGAGGCGGCTTCTGCTGATGCAACGTGTGTTAGATTATACTACTCTTTTGTATCCTGAATTGATCCTATAAACCCTAGGATAGAGATAGGCACCCAAACTATGTTTGGGTGCACAACTAGGGTTAACCTTAGTTGGGGGTTGGAACCCAACCTTGGTCCAATTATTGGCCCCCAACGTTGGGTTGGGAGATTATTGCCCCCCCCCAATAATGTTGGCCCACTTTGGCCAACATTATTGGGACCCCCCAATAATTCTCCAACCCAACTTATTGGTGGGGGGCCGATAATGTTGGCTAGGTACCCAACCAACCCCCTCCCCCCCCCCCCCCCCCCCCCTTTCTCTAGATCCAACTATGTAAACCCTTATGATTCCTAATCAATCTATTGGTTCAAATTGAACATGCTATCAGGGCTCTTAAGGCCAACGCCTCTCAAGATCATAGGTCCACATTTTCCCTCCCGCCGGCTGTGCCGTGCCCCTCGCGCTACTTAGCGCACCCTACGCCGGCTCTGCCGTACCCCTCGCGCTACTTAACGCATCTACCGCCGGCTCTGTCGTGCCCCTCGCACTACTTAGCGAATCTTCCGACGGCTCTGCCGTGCCCTTCGCGCTACTTAGAGCACCTTCCGACGGCTCTGCCGCGCCCCTCGCGTTACTAAAACGCACCTTCCGCCGACTCTGCCGCGCCCCTCTCGTTACTAAAACGCACCTTCCGCCGGCTCTGCCGTGCCCCTCGCGCCATCTCGGCGCCCCACTCCTCGCCACAACGACTGCTAGGGACGCGCCGAACGCGGCCGACGGGCCGCCGCCGCGGACGCGCCGAAAGCGGCCAACGGGCCGCCGTCGCGGACGCGCCGGATGCGGCCAACGAGCCGCCGCCGCGGAAGGGACGAACGCGGGCGGCCGCCGCGGACGCGACGAACGCGGGCAGCCGCCACGGATGCAACGAACGCGGGCAGCCGCGGCTGCGGACGGGACGAACGCGGGCAGCCGCCGCGGACGCGACGAACGCGGGCAGCCGCGGCCGCAACCAGCGGGGGGATTAATCAGCTGCGGACAGCACGCAGCCCATCCCCACCACCGACTACGCCGTCCCTCCGGACAGCGTCGTCACCTCTAGCACCTCCACCCTCCCCTCCTCCTCCCTCCCTCACTCGTCATGGCGGACGATCCTTCTTCACTTGACCTCGCCTCCATCGACAAACTCAAACTCCTCAACGGCACCACCACAATCAATTGGGTGTCGTTTGAGGAAAGCCTCTTCACATACCTTGGCTCCGTTCGGGTGGGAGATTACTGCCTCCTTGACGTCGTCCTTGAAATGCCTCACGGCCTCCCTCCCACCCCACCCCCGCTCCCACGCTCCTCCTCACCTGACGCCCCACCACTCCCGACCGAACCCGCCCCCCAAGCCCCCATCCTAGGGGCTTGGGAGGATGACCCAGACAGGTGGGCTCGCACCCTCAACAAGTACAACAAGGAGTGCAACGACGATGTCATCAAGGGCATAGCATACGTAGTTGCCGTTGCCGCTCTCGAAGCTGCCACTGCAAAGCTTGCAGAGTTCAAAGCCACCTCCGACGAGTACTATACTAAACTCCGTAAGCACCACTCAGATACTGCTGCATGGCGCATTGCTGACCGCCGTGCACTTACTGTCATCTTCTCGTGCGTTCCCTCCTCACTCAAACGTGACCTTCGCCCTCCATCCTCCCCCTCCCTCTGGAAGTCACTCTCCTCCGAATATGATCGTCAGGACCTATGCTCCCTCCTCTCCCTCTTTCGCACCTTCCAAGACATCACCCTTGACTCCTCCCTCAATGCCGCCTCCTTCGCTTGGCGTCTCACGGACACTGCGCAACGCCTCAATGATCGAGGCATCTTGATCTCAGACACCCTCCTCACAGCCCGCATCCTTGATTGCCTCCCACCCACCTATGACACCTATCGCATCAAGTTTACCTCCCAACACATCCGTCCTCCTCCTGTGGCTTTTACCATCGACTGGCTCCTTGACAGTGAGGCTGACCTCCTGCGTGACTCTACTTCCGTCAATGTCGTTTTCACTCGCAAAGGAACCAATAACACCGGCGGAAGCAGCAGCGGCAGACCTGTACGTGGCTCTAGCAGAGGTGGAAGAGGAGGCGGCCGCGGAGGTGGACGAGGAGGGCGCACTGGGGAACGCGGCGGACGTGGGGCAACAACTCCTACCACGGGTGGGCTCCCCCCGTGCCAGTGTGTCATTCGCCAAGGCCCCAACAAAGGTCAGACCTGCAACCAGACCACGCATCCCACTGATACGTGCTTCAAAGCCCTCACTGACGAATGGCTTGCACGTGGCAACAAAGGCCCCCCTCCACGCTGGAGCACTATCACCCCACGCCCCACCCCTCATGACATTCGCACCCTCCCCGCCTATGCACCATCTCCCCCCAACCTCCATAATGTCCTTGCTCAGCACCTCTCCCCTCACATCTTCCAGCAAGTCCAACACCTCCTCCCCACACCAACCACCACCTCCACGCCCCCCACCCTCACCCCTTCGCCTCCACCCACCCTCCCACCTCAAACCCCTCCCTCCCCCTATCCTCCTCTCTCCCCCTATTCTCCTCCTTACGCCAGCTGGCTCTACCCTCCCTATCCCCCATATGTGTATGACCATAGAGCTGCTGCAACTGCTGAACAGACCCCCTCCTACTCTCACCCCCCCGGCTTCACACCGTTTCCTTCTACGGGATTGATAGGCCATGTCTCCACTGCTAGCACTTGTAATGATCCTATGTATGCCAATGCTATTAATGAGTCCTCATTCCAGTACTCCATGTCCTCCTCCTCCCAGCCCCTTGAGTTCATCCTTGACAGCAGAGCCACACACACGGTCCTTCGTGATGCAGGCACGCTCCTCCCCCTCTCCACCCCCTCCACAATACTTGGGGATGACTCAAGCTTTGCCATTCAAAGCAGTTACACCTCCACACTCCCCTGTCCCCTCTTTCCCTCAGGTACCGTCACATGTCTCTATACCCCCTCCCTTCGTAACAACCTGGTATCCCTTGGTGCCCTCTCAACGGCAGGTGTCACCGCCATATTCCCTGGTCACGCAGCATATTGTGACTTATTTCACACCTCCTCCGGTCGCTTCTTTCTGTCGTATCCATGGGTGCCCCTCCACCCACATGTACACCTTCCGCATCCCCTGTCCCACCCTTCACCAACTCTCCACACCCCATCCCCCTGGCCCCTTCCCCTCCTCTCGAACCCCCTCCTCCCCGTCCCCTTCCCCCTCCCCCTCCCCCTCCCCCTCCCCCTCCCCCTCCCCCTCCCCCTCCCCCTCCACCTCCCCCTTCCCCCGCCCCTTCCCCTCCCCCTCCACCTCCCCCTCCCCCCGCCCCTTCCCCTCCCCCCCCACTCCCCCCCCACATCCCCCTCCCCTTCCTCCTCCCCCATCTAACCCACCCTCCCCCTGTCACTGTCGTGATCACACACACCCCACCATTCTCCTCCACCATCGCCTAGGCCATCCCAACTTTGCCACCCTTCGACGATCCATCCTCACTAAACTCCTTGACGGCCTCCCCCTCACCCTTCCCCCCCTCCCTCCTCCCCCCTCCCCTCCTTCCCCCACCAGGCAAGGACATCATTAACTCCTCATCCTGGTGGATGATCACAGTCGATACTCCTCCGTCACCCTCCTCCTCCGCCCCGGCTGCCATCACTGCCTGGGCTGAACAAGGACGCAACCACTTCGGTCGTCCTATTCGCCACTTTCATTCATGTTATAGTCACAATAGACTTCAATGTGTTTAAACGGAAGATAGAGTGCACTGTCGGATTTCTGCACAGCAGCTTTAAACGTTCATAGCGATCTGCTCACAACTCCAAATGACTTCATTCAACTTGGATCTAGAGAGCCTTTACGTTGCCGACAATAGGCAATTTAGATCGCACGATTTCATCAAGAATTGACGACACAGCGTCGGTTTGAACGAACGGCACTATGGCAGCCACTATATTCTTAGAACACAAGATAGGAAGAGTTGGGAAGAGTTACGAGTTGGGAATGACTCCCAGCTCCTACAAACCCCAAGACCCGAGGTACAGTGATGTGGAACAGTGCCACACTGTCCCCAACCAAGAAGGGTCTCGAACCTACCCTTCACAAGGGTCTACACTAATAGAAATGTTACACTACACATTGTAATGTAACTATCTTCAATATCTTGAAGTGTACCCTTTTGGCGAGCTTCGAAATCACTTGAAGCTTGAAATCAAGGCTTGGGTTCTTCATCACAAACTCATCCTTGAGTTCTTGATGGGTCTGCTGCACACACCTGCGACACGCCGAACGTTCGACAAGCGACAAAATAGAAACCGCGCACGACAAAATAGAAACCGCGCGGGACACACAAAATGACCACATTACACGCGACTAGCGATAATTCGCTATTGACTTGACACACACACTCGACATCATGACCCATCATTCACACACTATTATAAGCATGAAAAATACTCATTCCATTTCATGCACTCATTCCATTCCATGCACACACGCATGCACGCACACGGACAACAAGCCGAGTGCAAACCGTAGGTTGCACCAACAAACTCCCCCTCGGATTGTTGGCCTTAGGATCTTGCTCTCTCAGTTCAGAACCATCCCAGCCAGCTTGCAGCACTTCCAATGCTGCTGCTCCACCAGCCTCTTGGTCATCATGTCAGCCGGCTGCCCCGTCGTCTTCACATAGCGCAACTCAACCTCTCCCGCGGCCACCATGCTCCTTGTCTTGTGCCACTTCACCCTCAAGTGATTCGTGAGGCCATGCAACACAGGGTTCTTAGCAAGAGCAATGGCACCCTGGCTGTCACAGTAGAGAGGGGTAGGTCCTTGCTGCTTTTCCCCCAATTCAGCCAACAAACGCCGCTGCCACACAATCTCCCGTACGGCACGGAAGAGTGCCATGTACTCGGACTCCACCGAGC